TTTTTTAAATGTTTTCTAATTTTAATTAAGATATTACTTCTCATAATATAGTAAAGAAAGGGCTCGAAGTCTCAGGGGATCCTCTGCGTGAGACAGTGCTTTGTTCGGGGCATATGTTCACAAGTGCTTAGTCTCAATTATATTAGACAATATCCATGGCAATTTAATTATTGCCTGTCCATATCAGCCTCGTTTGCCAAGTTCTTCCCCCAAAGAAGGATGAAGACAGCCATTCTTCTCTGATTCACTGTGCCAAATTAACGCTGAATAGATAAGCTGGAACATACCAAAGGAAGCAATTTCTACAATTACTTTAAGGAAATGGACTTTGTCACCACATTGCCAAGATTGTTCTGAGCAAGATGTTCTGCATGACGGCTGCTCTTTGACACTGTGTGGGTTTAGGGGCAAGCACCTGAGGACCCTGGGCCCAGCACCTCCGAGGCTTTGTCTTTTCCCTGTTGCCTCCTTCCTGCCCTCTCTTTTCTAAACCCTGCACAGCCCAGGCCTCTCTACTATCTCTAGTTAGCCTTTTCTGTACTATCAGCCATTGTCATATAATTCAGTAACTTCTTTGACCCTTTCTGCAAAAGTGAGCACAAATCCCAGGACACAGTAGGGATTCAAAACCCGATTCTGACAGCTCAAACTTAAAATACCATTCTGCTTTAGATCTGAGTGGAGTAGCTACACACAGGAAAAACAATCTAAATATTTTTCTATGAGTTAGTGAAGATATTCCTGCATTTGCACAGAATGTCTCCTTCTTTTCTACTTGGAGATATCTGGAGTCTCACGTCTTATTTTCCCCGTCCAGATGTTTATCTTTTTTTTTTCTTTAGAATTTCTGCAATAAAAACAAGGTCACAAGAAGAAATAGCTTTGCCTTCCATCCAGACAAGGATGCAGAAGTCATCCACGGAGTATTTTAGAAATTCTGGGGGCCATTTGTCAGAAAACCTACATTCTATATACTTCCCTTTCCCAAAGAATACAGACCACAGTCAAAACCTTTTCTTTGGTCTCCCACCTCTCCATGTGCAAAAGAATCAGCAGTGAACCTGTTCAGCCACATTTCCTCTTCCGTGCAGACTTTATGATTTAGAGGGAAAAGCCAAGCAACCAAGTCAGAGAAAATCAAAACTGGGAAACATCCAGAGCACCGCCCGGTCTTGTCCTCGTCATTCCCGCATCACATCTTGCTTCTCTCATGAGGGCCACACTGTAGCAGGGCTTGCAACTCTCAGACGAGATGCCCTGACAAGAGGACCAAATTTGTTACAGGAATGTTCTGTCCTTGGTAATAAGCGATCCAATGCTGGCTTCAAACCATGAGAACAGCTTCATTACACTTTGGAGCTTGTGCTGCAGCAGCCATAGTAACCACCAGTTCAAGAAGATTAGACATGAGCAGCTTTAACCTGCCTAGATACGCGATGATGGGAAGAAAGGGAGATTCGGTGTGTTCTGCAAGTCCCCCCACCCCCACCTCAGTTACAGGCACTTTTTCTGCTCCAGATTTGTATAGAATAGACTGACACAGGGTTTTATTTTGCTGGCAAATGAGGGGAGATCAGGCCTTTCTATGAATTAACTGTAGCAATTAAATACACTTGACTTGACACTAGGTATCAACCACCTCTTATCACCTGGATCTTCTCCTATCCCTTTTCCACCAGGGGATAGGATTAGATCCAATCTCCCAGACTTACACGGGCAAAACGGCCTGACCGAGCAAAACTCAGGGAACCCTTCTGCAATTGCAAGGTGGGAAATAGCACTAAGCTAAACCTCAGGGAGGGATGGTAGACAGACTGTTTATGGCAACCAAACATCTCAGAATTTCCAGGGCCATCCTGTGTTTG